AATTCATACACCTTTCTTATTTTAGATTTTGAAATGTCTGATGCCCAGCAAGAGCATGCTCTGGCGATTGAACATTTTGCGCCAAGATTAGCTGCTTTGAGGTTTGAACTCTGTCCATGCCATATGAGCGAGAGTTACTTCTGGAAAGTCTATTTTGTGCTTCTGCATTCGAGGCTGAATAAGCAGGATGCGGAGATTTTGTCCACACCCCAAGTAAGCTTCCCTTTTGTATACAGTGTCCCTCAAATAATTGATTAAGTTTGATGCTGTTTCAAACATAGGCCTTCAGATTCTGAATTAAAGTTACTACTATAGTGGAATTAGTTTACAGGATTTTCGTACCATACCATGTAATGTATTAAAGTGGGAATTTGTGCTTCGTGCCAATTCTAGAGTTGCAGCCTTCCATTTGTTACTTCTTATCCAAGGCCAAACTTCATTGTATCTCACAAGTTCTTGTTGCTTTTGGTTAGCTTGAACTCCTCCATTAGAGTTTGCCAACATTTCCAGGCCTGGGTTTTGATAGTTCTACATGTTCATTCAGGCATGTTGGATATTCATCTCTAGAAGAGTTCAACTTCAATACTTTATTTAGGTTACTGTTTGTCTTGTTAAGTTTGTTGATCAGGAAAAAGGAAAAAAAGAGGAGAGATAAGAGGTCAGTCGGTCTGTGGTTCTAAATTAAGTTTGTTTCAAGGCTGTTAGTGTATTTTGTTCTGATGTCTCAAGTTTCATTTCCTCATGGGGGAATAAAGTTAGGATTTAGAAATTCTTGACTACATAGATGGTTTCAGAAAAATTGGAATAAATTTTGGGACCAAAGTTTTGTTTGCACTTTTTGATTGAGCAATTGCCTGGTTTATATTTCTTTTCTGAAATTTCATGCAGTCTAACATGTTGGTTGCAGGTAATGGAAGCCAGAGCAAAGTGGATGCAGGAGCTACAATGTCAGACTATGTCAGAATACGAAGGATTTGAAAGAAACACTTCTTTTCTAAAAGACAATTCTAACATACCAAATGACGATTTTGTTCCAGTCTCATCCTGTAGTGTTTATTATGAGGACAAGCTGCTAAGGACACATCCTTATGAATCAACCATGTCTCCCACAGTCCATGAGACTGAGAAGCATCCAGTTGAGAGTAATGAGATGCCATTCATTGATAAGTCTGTTATTGAAGAAAATCCCATCATTAAGACAGAGGATAAGAATTTAACAGTTGGTCCATCCTCTAAGATACTAGACAATATCTATGAAGATGACGAGGATGACTGGCCAGAGGAAGATTCTGATTTAGACGGATATAGTGGAACGGCTATTCATGTGGTAAATGAAGAAGACATATCTTTCAGTGATCTCGAGGACGATGATTTCCTTACACCCACAAAACTCAAGATTGTCTCAAAGAAATAAGAAACCTCAAGGAAGAGAGGTTAATCATAGGTACGGTGCTCTGCTCATTGGATAAAAGATGGAACCTTGGTTCATCTGATGAACACCGGTGGTGGTGAGGACTTGTATATCATTTGTCAATTGCCCCGCCAACATAGTCCTACACTAGGACTCTTCTATGCACCTGCAGATTGTTCTACTGAATAGTCCTGCGCTGAGACTCTTCTAAGTCGTTGCTGATTACCCTACGGAATAGTCCCACACCGGGACTCAAGCCTCTGGTGAAGCTATTTGTTCTGAATACCAATTTGTACATGATGTGTTGCCACCTTGTCATTGAAGTCTTTACAGAAAAGTATATGTTTTGATTGATTGTGATAGGATTGTAATTACAATATTTAGGGATTTTGAGAGAGGGTACAAGAGGTCATTTCATCAATGAATTGCCCCAATTTCGTGTCTTTAAAAGAAAATTTGCAAGATGAATGTATTACCATTGGATCAATAAAACCAATTTTGCCTTTCTTGTTGTATATCTTCTGCATATACCATCATTTTTAGGAATTTTTGTGTTGTGCTATATTATGTAAATCCTCTGCTTCATCAAGCCACCCCCATTACACAAGCTTTCAAACCTTGGGAGAAACATAGGAAGGGAAAGGAAACCCGAGAAAACTATACACCATGTTAAAAGGAATAAACACCACCACCCCCTCCTTAATCTGTTACAAACACAACTTCTTCAGCCCTACCGTCATCACCAACATCATCAATAATAATAAAAGAGGGAAAGAATATACTTTTGAAAGAACAATACCTAAAATAAGTCTGCTATTCAATAAGCTGCTAAACTGGAATGACATCATTCTTTGATGCATCAACACATCTCAAAATAATACCCTCAAGTCTAGCTGGAAAGATATATTTGGCCCACTGGCATCCTGTCATGATCGGCTCAGGGGGAGGAACAATCATCAACACATTGTCATTTCTTTAAATATTCAGCACTTGCCTCGCCCCCTTCGTATATACTTAAACGGTATAGCCGCGCGGCTATACTGTTTAAATATTCTATTTTAAAATATTATACTCTTTAAAATATATATATATATTTAAAGAATATATTTCCCCATTACACCAAAAATAAAATATAGCACACTGCGATGCTCAGATTTTCGCTGCTTATCTGTATTCCAAAAGAATTTGCAGGATAAAAGTTAAGTATGCATCCAGCATCAAGGAACTGGAGAAAAAAAGGCATGCAGAATCAGTGCTCTGAAGATATTAGGGGGAAAAAACACAACTTAAAAACAGAAACCTTTGCCATTATAATCTTTACCATTAGATGGTAGTTCCCTCACGGCTGATCACGCTGCGAATTCATACAGGCTATCTAGAGGCCCTGCCTTGCAAATTTTAACGTTGATATGTGGCCAAGACAAAAGTTGAAACATATCAATAGACAAAGGTTGAACTCGCCTCCTCCTTATATAATTTAAAGGGTATAGCCGCGCGGCTATACCTCTGAAGTATTCTATTCATAGGGTAGAGCCGCGCGGCTATAATCGTTCAATATTCTATTTACAGTATAGCCGGGCGGCTATACTCCTAAAAAATATATATATTTAAAGAGTACATTTCCACATTGCACCATCAATAAAAATATGGATTTCTCTGTAACATAAACCCAAAAAAAAAAACTATAGAATCCAAACCAAATTCTAGAAAGAAAAAACCCTTTTGAATTTTCCTAAAAAATCACAATCAAACCCCCAGTTTCCCAATGTATTGGAGTCAGAAAATATAAAATTATGAGCAGAAGATGAAATATAATCAAAGATATTGTAGCAAAACAGAGTAACCTACCAAGACACCAACACACCAAGGTAAATCGTTCGATCCTTCAGAGCTAACTGCCAAGCCAACAATGGTTGCGTTCATTGAAGCAAGTTCTAAGGCCGGCTATATTTGATTGGGGTCCGGATCATTGAAACAGACCGGGTTGACCATTAGATTTCGTGGACCGCCAACCTAACCCAAAAAGTTCAGTTTTGGGCTACAAAATGTTGTGGTTGGCCTTGACCCACTGAGGGTGAAGAAAATTTTAATTAATCCGCTGCCACATATAAGGAAAAAAAATATATAACTGCCGCGTATGCAAATGTCATGGCGATGAAAGCTCTTGTTCATTTGTTAAGAGAAGTTTACAAGTAGCATCACTTATAATTAGTATTTAATTGAAGTAATTAAGCAATACATTTTGGCATAATGTTTTATCCAAATATCGTAATTGAAACTTTAATTGCGATGTCAAGGGTTTGATTGTCTTGTCAGCAAGCTTCATTTGGGTATTTGTGTTTCTAATCGAATTTTTAGTTCTCATTTTTTGTGTCATGCATTGTGATTCCACAATTCTAGTCTTGTAAATGTGAAACTCTAAAATTGGGAACATTGAGAGAGGATTAAGAGAGGAGAATTCGATTTTATAATAAATTGACGCGCTTTTTAATTGAAATCATATGAAGAAAACAATCTCAATCCTCTAAAACAATTAAGGTAAATACCGTGTGTTAATTATTACATTGCATGAGTGAAGGCATGAAATCTATATATATATGTGCATCTCATCTTCATTTTAGGTTCTATATCTATCCGCCCTCTTGGTGTTACTCTTGCTTTCAGAAAAAAGAAAAGAAGGTTAAAAACTCAAGTGGAAAAGATGAGTTACTATGATTCCAAGCCTCACCCAGCCCCAGTCATTGCTCCCCCTCCTCAAGGTACCGTGTACCGTGTGTATATAGTCCCTTTTTAGTGAAGGATTTGTCAAATATTTACCACTCAGTTGCAGTGCTCAGTTAGATTTTCCATACTTGTTTGGATACAAACAATGGGTTTATAATTTTATTTGAATAGTCATAGAAGTGTATATTTTGAATTTCTGGATCAATCAAATGGGTTGTACTTGTTGTAGGTTATGGGGGTTATCCTCCACCTGGATATACAGCTCAAGGCTATCCTCAGCCTCCTCCGCCGCCTCAAGTAATTTATCAACCTCCTCCACCACCACCACCAACAGAAACACAATCTAAATCTAAATCCAATCATGGTTGCTTGCAAGGATGGTAATTAGCTATATCTCTGTTTCTCTCTCAAATTGTTTAATCTGCAGTTGGTTCATATTGCTTAAATTTATGTACTTCTTATCTTTGCAGTTTGGCTGGTCTTTGTTGCTGCTGCTGTTTGGAGATTTGCTTCTGAAAAGGGTGCTTCATTTCATACATTTGAATTTCATCTTCTTAGTGTTTGCTGTCATTGAATTGAAATAATCATATGAAGTTTCATGAGACCATATCATTACTTGTTTTGGAATTTCTTGGCAATCAATCTAAGCGGTAAAACTTTTGGATCACTGACGGCCTCTTGATCATGATCACACGGTTGAAAACGAAATATGCTTTTGAGCCATATGACTACAATCGAATTTCAACAAGCGCGCTAGATTAAAAATAAAATAAAAATACAAGATGTTCCTGGTCAATGCGGTTTTTTCAGTTATTTATCGTCGCGGTTATTCTATCCAATCAGCGAACGAGGCCATTTAATTAATAAAATAAAATAAATATTTACGGCGGGGGCGTCCAGCTCTCTCTCTTCTGCGAGACTGCAACGTCCGCCGTCTCCTCGCTCTCTCTCACACGCACAAATCGATCATGTAAGTCACAATGGTTCGTCTTCTCATCGAGCTCTGGTTTTAATTTCTTCAATCAATATCTGATCTTTGTATTTATTGCGATTTCAAACCCCAGAAACCCTAGAATTTATCGATCCAAGAATCGATATTTCGTCCCCAATTCATTGGACCACATCGACACCCCATTTCGTCAATTATTGTCAGTTGATTTCCCAAGATCACCTTCAATAGCCCAAGCTTTTAAGCTTTCCTCTGTGTTTGAGCTCAAATGGAAGTTGGGCTCGTCACGAAAGGCTTGAATTTCTCTCGGCGGAGAAAGAGATGGCTTTTCGCACTTGCAGCTCTTGGCGTGTCCGGTTATGGTGCTTATAGGGTTTATAACTTGCCCTCTGTGGTCAAGAAGAGGAAGAGGTTCGTGAAGCTCTTAGGAGCCCTAATTTCTGTGGCGGAGATGGTCTCTGATTCGGCTGAGACCATCGGCATTGTCTCCAAGGACTTGAAGGAGTTTCTACGTTCTGATTCAGACGAAATGCCCCAGAGTTTAGTGCAAATTTCCAAAATTGCGAGGTCGGAGGAGTTCTCTGGGTCGCTGAGTAAGCTTACAGAGGCTATGACGGTTGGGATTGTTCGAGGGTGTAAATTGGAGATGGAAAATCAGAGTGAATCAGAGACGGGTTTGGGGAATTCGAGCTTTTCCGATAGGGTTTTGGAGAAGGTTTTCTCTACAGCCGGGACAAGGTTCGTTTCGGTTGTGGTTGGAAGCTTTGCGAGGAACTTGATTCTGGGTTTTTACTCCAATGATCAATCAGTCGATAGTTCCAGTTCGTCCAGGTCAAGTTTATCGGATGTGCCTAGATGGGTTAATGTGGTTTGCAGTGATAGAAGTAAAGAACTCATAGCAAATTGCATACAGGTTTTCGTAAGCACTGCAGTTGCAGTGTACCTTGACAAAACGAAGGATATCAATTTCATTGATGAAATGTTTGATGGATTGACCAATTCCAAGCATCAAAACAAAGTAAGGGACGTTCTGGTTTCTCTTTGTAATGGTGCTGTGGAAACGGTCGTCAGAACTTCTCACCAAGTTTTGACGAGTTCAAATTCGAGTTCAAGTTCAAATTCACGTTCTTTCTCCATTGTTGATCAGAATGAAGGTCTAAGTGGAACTACAGACCAGTGCTTGGAGCAAGAAGTATCTGCAGGGCAGCCGAAGGAGGGAACTTCATTGGACGTTATTCAGAGTAGTGGGTGGGTCGGCAAGGTTTCATCTACATTGGCAGTGCCAAGCAATAGGAAGTTTGTTCTTGATGTGACAGGGAGGGTGACATTTGAGACAGTACGTTCTCTTGTTGAATTTATGTTGTGGACGGTGTTAGATGGCTTGAAAAGAAGTGTTAATGTACTTCATGGGGAGGTTGAAGACAGGGGATTGCAAGTCATCAGATACTTCAGTGGAAAGTCGTCCGTTATAATTACCATATGTCTTGCTTTGCATTTATATATCCTGAGTGGTACTAGAGTTCTCTTCACTGCTTAATATGATGGCTTTATCTCTCCCTTGTAAGAAGCTCCTAACAGGGAGGCATGGTTCCCCTTGGGGAAGGTTATGTATCTATTGTATATCTGTCTGTTAATTGAAATGGGATAAAAAGGGGTTTATGACTTCATGGGGATGCATGATTTGAGTTTCAGGAAAATTTATTACCTTTTTGTCCTTAAATTTTTCATTTTAACCTCCTTGAGTAAATGCATCTATGCATACATGTCTGAATGTTGCTGAAATGCATCTTATCTGTCACATTCTGTTAATTACTTATAATTGCACTGTACTAAAAAAATTCATTACATTGTGCTAGCTGTTCATATGTTTAAATCTGGAAATGGAGAGAGTTGGTGGTCCAAGACTCCAAGGTGTCACCATATAAGCTTGCCATTCCCCCTTCACATGGATAATATGCTTGTTTCAGCTACTTAAGAATTCAATCCCTTATAATGTTTTGCTTGTTGACTAGAAACATTAGGAAATGTGATTACTCTGGAACTATACCTAATTTAGCGTCTCTGGGAGAAATAAGATTTGTGTAGGAAATGGATGATTGAAGCAGTGATCAATGCTGTTGCAGGGAAAAATGTAGTTTTTCGAAACCAGTAATGATTCTTTTCCATTAAGGTCATCTGAGATACTTTATAAATGGGAAGCGGAATTGGATTGTAACAGCCAATTGAATTCATTGATAAATGGATCAAATTGCCACTTTCAGGACATCCTGCCATTGCAAAAGCTTGGTGACAGACGTTTGAGTTCCTTGACCCCTTTTATCAAACCATTATATTTTGTACAGGACAACTCGTACTCTGTTTCAAGCATCCAGAGAGAAGTAGAAGTAGTTCAAAAGAAATTCCCTTTTGAGTGAAATGGCCGTTCAGAAATGGTTGTAAAGCTAACATATTTGTAGAACTCCATCAAATTCTCCATGTGCTTAATTAGGTCATTTTCCAATCATCTTTACGGCTTTTCGGATTTTGAATCTGTGATCACAGGATTGTGGGTTATCAATTTTCTTCTTTGTGAGATCAGATCAGATGCATGCACCGCACTAGATGGCATCAGTATGTCAAATGGTGGTGGTTCAAAATGCATTAGTTTATCCTGGGATTTTCTCAAGGCAGCCAGCAAAACCCATTTAGACTTTTTATTTTATTATATCACAGCCGTGTTTGACACACTGCTTTTAGTGCTTAGCTAATATGCTTTGTTTCCCACATTTTCATCATGCTTTCGTTGACCATCGTTGACCACATATGAACTGTGTTTTAGTGACATCTACTCCCTCTCCACCAAGCTGCGATCTTATTCGCACTTGAGCTTTTTGGTAACTTCCTAGTGGATTCATTGAAACATTTCCTATTGGCCTCATTTTCCATGCAACTCTCTTAGTTACTTTATGTTATGTATAAAAGAAAGGGTTATTAATAATCCCTTAATTATCTCATAATTGCATTTGGGTCACTGAACTCAATTATTAGTTGCATAAGTCACTTAACTATGTGTTTCGTTGCACCAATAGTCCTTCCGTCAAGTCCGTTAGTTTTTTTCGTTTAAAATGATGACGTGGCAAGCATCTGTAAGAATCTCATAAATTCGGGCAAATCTGACTTTTCAGTTAGAAATATAGTAAAGGGACTGAGAGAGAGAGAGAGAGAGAGAGAGAGAGAGAGAGAGAGAGAGAGAGGGAGAGAGAGGGAGGAAGTGTCAGCGTCAATTTCGTTCCTTGGCACTGCAATTGCGTCCTCCCAACAGCTATGGCTGCGTCGCAAGCTTGTGGGAGTGATGACAACTCTAAGTCCAAGGCCTCAATCTCAGTCTCTTGTTGTGGAAGCCAAAGCCACCACCAAAAGAGAAGACAGAACCGCCCGCCATATTCGTATCAGAAAGAAGATACCATTGCCAACCATCTCTCTCTCTCTCTCTCTCTCTCTCTTGTGTTCTCTATCTAATTTCTGTAATTTGGTTGCTTCGCTTTCAACCCACATAATGTAAGATGAATTTTACCGTTCAAATTCAAGGCATCCGATTTGTCCTCCTTTTACTTTACGTGTTCTGAATTTCCCTTATCTTCTTCCCTACTTACCCAGAAACTCTTTTGAGTAATGGGTTCCTCTCCTTCTACAAGAACATGGACTTTTTGCCATTAGATTAGACCAACATACATTACTGGTGGGTTTGGAAAAATTTAGTGTGTTTTCTCTGTGAGAGGTGGGAGGAAATGGAGGATGGAGCGAGAGGTTTTGGTGGGTTTTTATTGAGGGTTTTGGGGATAGAGAAGAAGATGAGTAAGAGCCCAGAAGGCATTGGCAGGCCATGGAGTGGTTTGATGTGAAAAAATTGGGAGGTTGGACATTGTGGACTTAGAAAGACAAATTTGCCCATGAAATTGACACCACGTTAGCCAGACTTGACGGAAGGATTGCTGGTGTAACGAAACACATAGTTAAGTGACCTCTGCAACTAATAATTGAGTTTAGTGACCCAAATAGGTATAGTTGAAGGACCATTGCTGCGAAAAACCCTAAAAGAAAAGATTGTTGTTGAAAGAAGTGTAAAGTTAACTCAATACACTTTATGATCTAAGTATATTCTAATATTTAAATTAAAATATAAAATTAACTAAGTACGTCTTATTTAACTATAAAAAATATCTCTAATACACATCACACCACACAAAACCCATTTATTAATTTAAATATTAGGTTGACGATAACACCAGTAAATACCAATGAACACTCAGTAGTGGTTGGTGAACAGTCAACAATTTTTTGGAATTTTATGCAGTGAATTTATGAATAAACTATAAAGGCACTATATATATAGCTAATAGGTAATAGGAAAGTGAAAAATTCAAGTTGCTCAATAGCTTAAAAGGTTCTCCGAACGGTGTTGGCAAATACTATTGTGCCTTTTTCTCATTCTGATTGTAATAAGATTTGAAATTTCTGAGGACTTATCTCCTTGCCTAATATTCTTTTACTACTTTGTGGGAATTGACTGCATTTGTTGATGAACTATGTATGCTGACCATACATGACATAGAAGAATAAAGATACAATATTGTGTTTTTGTTTTCATTATGAAATTGCCTAGAATAACTTTCGTTAGGGGTAGAGTTGTGAATTAGGGTTGAATATAGTGAGTATGGTGTACTTTTTAAAATTACATTTGATTCATAATTGGTTATTTTATATTAAAGTAAATTAGTAATTTAATAAATAGTTTAGTTGTAAGACACTCAGTTAATTTTAGAGTTCGTTTAACATCACTCAAACAAAAATGTGGCAAAACAATGGCTAGCAATTTATTTTATTTGATCTAAAATTACATATTACATCAAGATAATTTAAACTCTAAAACAAATTTGGTTTATTAACCAAAATGAGGAGTTAGTAATTTCTTAATTCCGATCCCCCAACATTGCTAAGATAAAGAAACCATGCACCAAAGTCCGCAGTGCTTGACTTTTCAGTGTAAATTTTGTACCAGCAAAATGGAAGCTCATGACTTGTCGTGTATTTAACCTTTACTAGCAAAATGGAAACCAATTTCGTGTTGCTCAAAACACATAACTAAAAAAGGAAATCATGTCTAGGCTTGGCAAAGTTGGTTATAGTGGATGTGCTCCCCATTCTACACCCGAATTTGAATCCCCCCTCCCCTCGTAGTTAGATTAGGTTAAAGTAGAAAATTGCTTGTATAAAAAAAAGGGGAACCAGAGTTTTACCACAGATCCCTTTTTTTATCCTTGGGAAATAAAGAAAGAGAATTTCCTGAATTTGGGAAAATCTGCAAAAAGATTGAACTGTGGGGAGGAACCAGTCTGATCTGAAGTCCCCATGGCAAAAATAACACAGAGAACGTATTATTTTGTCTTATTAATTGTCACCAACATGATGTATTTGTAACAACAGATGTCTTATTGCATGGCCTTTCACCATTAGAAAAGAAAAAAAATAGACATAATTGATTGGTTACTCAACAGAGATACAGAGAAGTTCATGGTTTGTGCTTCTGTGTGTAAATATAATCCACATGAGCCGCAAGAGTCCTTCTCATGAGGCACTCCTCCATCTCTAACCCTGCGCAGCTGATCTCCCCACCATCCTCAACAGCAATGGCCTCTGCTTCTTTGTCCTGAACATATTCATAAAAAAAAATTGATTATCAGAAAGAAAGAAAAAAGAAGAATTAATGACAGAAAAGTAGATTAAAACAACATACTTGTTGGGTTTTGAGGGCGTTGTTGGTGAAAGCAGGGTCTGGACGAGCAGCAAGGCTGAGTTGAAAGCTGAGGAGGAGAGCTATGGTGAAAAGGGTGGTGATAAGCTTAGCCATTTTTCTTCTCTCTTTTGTGTTGTAATTTTGACTCTCTGTTTGGAGAATTTATATTGGGTTTGGTTTGTTGGCTTTGCATGTCCAATTGGATGGTGACTCGTTGACGGGTTTAGATGATTGGAGCAGAGCCAATTGGCACTATTGGCTCTACCAGAATCTACACCAAAATCTCTCTCTGTTAATCTTCCATCTTTACCTATGGTAACAGAAAAGAAAACAAAATTTATGAGAATATTGTAACCAAAGAAAAGCATTTATGAAAATGATCTAGAAACAGAAAAAAGATATTTGCTTATGCAGTACGCGTTTTCTCAGGCCATATTAATCACATATCAAAGAGGGAAAATGAGGTTGGTATATTTATTTTATACTGTTTAATTATAATACAAACAATATTCATTTGAAAGGTGGATGTGAGACAAAGTGATGGTGGGTTGGCTTATATCCATCCATCTGCTACGGTGTGTTAGTTATTTTTCCCAAATTGACTAAACTCCAAGAACAAAACAAAAATGGTAATTCCGCGATTGCAGAAAGTATCAAAACACTGACAGGTCTTATAAGATCATTTCAATGGAAATATCATTTGCCAAGCAAAGCAACGTGGCCCTCTTGCAATTGGGCCTAAATTCTAACAAAATCCAAGAGCATTGGTATTTGGAATTGGGCCTCCAAACAGGCAAGTGCTCTGTCTCTGAACTTTGAAAACAGTCTTTTGGCATGCACTTTTTTGGGTCAGTCAACCTTCAAGGAAACATTTTCAATCAATCACATTTCTCTTCTGCATGCGCGCAGGGACACATACCTACACAACACACACCTCCTAAAGTTGGACTTTTAGGGTCTGGTTCTCTCTCTCTCTCTCTCTCTCTCTCTCTCTCTCAATGAGGTAATGGATATGATGGAACTCACTCTCATTTCCTTTGAGTCTCATCATTATCTTCGTCCGTTCTTTAATATATTCGCAGCTTCCTCCTTCATATCCATTGTGTTCATGATTAATTTACATAAACATGCTTCTTTTTTTTAAGCATAGTGGAGAAGTGAGATGCCCCTACCTACGGCTCTATGCTAGTTTCACAAAAATTCGTAAGTGCAATTTACAAGTTCACCCTCCACACACAGACACTGAGCAATTATGCAGTGGAGAATAACAAAATTAGGGTTCTCCTAAAAAAAAGGATATGCTCTCAAATAGTCTTATTATATCGATATCATCATTATATGTTGTCGATATTTTCTCATTATATCGATAACTAATCTCTGTAACTCTATTTGGACTTGCGATGTGCAACTAAGAATATAGTACTTATATAGTCTTTTGTAACTGATTGTACTTTTTTATGATTTAACTTAATAACGAAGGAAAGATAGCATCATAAATGCTTGGTATGAGTATATTCATAGAAACAGCATATGATTCAATTCTTTTTTCCTGTTGAGTCTGTATTTTTGTATTTTAGCAAGATGTCGTAGGCTGCCCAACCAGCCAGAAACGACAGCAATGCGAATAAATATTTGCAAATGTCACATTATAAAGCAATACATATTTGTAATTCTGCAAACTGTTAAGGGCATCTATTGGAATTTCAACTTATAATCATTCACAAGCCTTATAATGAGGCCCCCTTAAGAAATGCTTAAAGCCTATAGTTTTCTCAACCCCCTCTCTCACTATGCGGCTAGCTACCCCAACCTAATTCGATCTCCAAAATTTCATGGCCACCACCACCACCTCCTCCTCCAACTTCTTCAATCTCCGGTCAACTACTACTTCAGTCCACCCCAAGTCCCGGCCCTCATCGAGCCACGGCTCATCACACGGTTGTGGCAAGGTTGATGGGGTGGCTATGTGGCTCATTAACAGTGTCACAACTTGTTTCTTTGCATCCTTAGAGAGGTGCTCTTGCATCCGTATCGCCACGCAAGACGACGGTGATGACTGCAACGACTTGCCGTTGATTTTTAACGATGGGAATCTTCGATATGAGGCTGAGGCGACCACCAGCCGGAGGAGAACAGGCAAAGGAAAGAAGGGTATTGCCGGAGGACCATGCTGACAGATTAAGCACCAAAGTTGTGTTAAATTACGTGTAACAAGTCAATCAAATCTCTTCTCTTCACTTTTTTGGTAAGTGGCATCAAATATGGGGGCTGGCTTCTCTTGCAATTGTGAACGTTTGTTGGTTATAGTTTTTGGAAGGGTTGGAATATAATTATGAACATCAAAGAGGACTTATGTTAATTAAATTACTGCCTTTGAATGTGATATGAACATGAAATTAATATATTTGAATCTGCAACTCTGTTCTTCTTTTGTTTAGCAACCCTGAAATGATTATTTTAATTTACTGTAATAATGTTGATAATTTCCCAATTATTATTTAAATTTCACCGCAGAAAGAAATGGAGCAAAAAAAAAAAAAAAAAAAAGGGAAATCCAGCAGAAAAAGGCACTTTAAATATATTCAAATCTTTTTTTTCTCCATGATTTTGAATCATGCTGTCATTTCATTTCATTTATCATCATCATGTTGCTTCATCGCCCAAAGTTTCTTTTACTTTTTTGTTTTCTCTTTTCCCCTTAAACACGTACAATCAAAACCCAAAGAATCCAAAGCAAACAAGACTATCTGTCCGCCTTTAGCAAGTGTAATGCAAGCAAACAAAGAGAATTAAGCAAAGACAATGACCCAATTTCTTTTTTATGGTGAAGGGTCACGTCTAACATCATCATTATTAACCTTCAATTCTACTACTCTTCTTATTAACGGGGTGCTAGTTGGATTGGCTCAGTCCCAAGTGCTTTTGGATTTAAATTCCTATAATTTCCGTGTGTGTGAGTTTTACCCCATTTTCTTTCCTAACTTCGGCTAAAAAAATCCCATTATACTCTTTTCTTTTTTGTAGGTGCCACCATTTAAGCACTAGAGCTATTAAAAAGAAAAAAATAGAGAGAAGTTATGCTTTCTGTTTATTCAAACCTGATATTCTTATGCACTCTCAATCAAATCTTATCTATATATTTCCCATCAAAATCCTCAAGTCAGCATAAAACCAAAGTGAATTTCGGCTGCGCATGCTCATGAGTCATGAGTTGGTTTGTTTCAACTTTTTCCACATAAAAGTGCTTCAAACACAGTGACACTTTCCAGTCAAAAAAAAAACACTCACCACTCAATTTGAATATGTACGGAAGGTTTGTGGGGTTCAAGGCAAAAAAAGTTTTACGTTATTGAGCAGTAAATAAACACAGCAAGAAGAACAATATGGATATTTTACTGTCTACTTTACTCCAATAAAACATTGAGCAAAATGAAAAAGAGAGAAAGAACTAGGCCAAGTTTGTCGACCCAAAGAAAAAAGACAAATACTTGGATTTGAAATAAAAAGGAAAGCCTGTAGACGAGTTCATCAACATGGATTGAAATTTCTAGCCCAACTGGTTATGGTCCAAAGGTGTTTTGGCCCAAAAAAAATGGGGGCAAACAAAAATAAGCGCCGTTGCCGGGGATCGAACCCGGGTCACCCGCGTGACAGGCGGGAATACTTACCACTATACTACAACGACCTTGTTGATATTATTTCATATTAATGGAAATATATATAATTATACAAACATAAAACTACGCCAAAGTCCAAAGTGACGAAAGTCATCCCTGTGACTCTCTGTCAGGTGGAACACAATTACGGAGCGGCAGATCACCGAGTGAAGTCATCGTAGCTCGTCACCATAACCAACCACCCTTTGCTACCTCCTAGCTGCCTCTAGCTGCTATTCTCCTACTCATATTATTGGTTACAGAGAGAGAGAAGCAAAAACTCACAAATCAAATCGAAATGCTCCGCGATGGAGAAGAAACCCCCTCCAGGTACGCGCGTCTTTGATTTTTGTTGTTTTATGTTTGCTTCTCGGGAATTTTAGATTTCATAAGCTCCTTCTTTGTTTCGTAGATTCGAATTGTTGAGCATGGTGAAGAAGCATTCGAGCTTGTTAGGGAAAACCGTAGTTGACGCGGACGATGTTTCCGATGTCGAAATGGACCACAAATTTTGGCATGATGTATTGGATTTGTATTTCATTCGTGGCAAGGACTCCAGGGGACGCCAGGACGATGATCTCGTGTTCTTTGTCAGAAAATTGGTACCACTTTAATTTTTTCAATTTTTGCTTAATTACATTGCCATTTAAGTTCCTTTCTTAGTTTTAGCTTCATTGATTGAATTGTTGCATTGTGGGCAGAGTTCTTATGGGCATGGTTCCAGTGACGAAAGTGTTTCTCCTTACTTTGTACGCAGGTGGGCACCTAAGGTAAAACCCAGTTTCAGAACCGCTTTGAATTTTGTTAAAAGGCATGAGCTTGTTAATGGGAGATAACTGGTACTTACTTTTATCAAACAGTTGGATAATTTGATCGGTGAAAATAATGTGGAGGTGGATTGGAGGCGTTCGTATTACTTGAACTTGATTGCTCACACTTCATTTACTGTCACAGTGGCTATTTGCAGGTAGATTCTCCTTTTCATTTGTGTCCAGTTTGTTTTGTTCTTGTAAATTCCACGCCCAAGACACAACATTCTCTTATTGAGTATATATCTGTGTAATCTTATCTTGTCTACGGTAATCTGCATGTGTGAACTGTGTTTATTCATTAAAATGACGATCAACCGCACTTTTGGAAACACAACCGTGACTGAGAAATTTCAGTCACTGATTGTAGTCTCTCTGGACTAAAACTTTTCTTTGCTCCAGTTTATTTATCCCAAAATCTTAGAAAAAATAACCAATGGCTTTGGTTAGATGTATTTCGTAGAACTTCTAGTGGAATATTCTTATGTGCTTTTCTTTTTTACCAGAGCTTTGCAATGGTAGAAGTTAAAATAAGTGTTGATTTTCAGTCATCAGGACCTTCGGAATCATCAAGCTGAGCAGGGTACACCATTATCTCCAATATATAAGGTATGCCCTGCCTAAGATTGCTGTATCTAAGTATGTCTTAGTAATCTTCCTTTTACGGTATCTTATTGGTGCAAAATTTGCAAAAAAGTTTGCATAATGCATAACAGTCTAAGTTTTCCATATAACATGTAGCATCTCTGCAGGTTGTAAAGACTGTTTATGCATCTCCAAGCCGTGTCAATTTTCAATTGGACTCAAGAAAGGTTAGTTTAGGTATTTTCTGATAATCCTGATATCACGGAATCATTCTTTTTATTCCACTTCATTCTGACACTGTTGCTAACATTTATCTAGGAAGTGGAGACAACACCTGCTTATCCAGATATTTGTTTCGCAATCGATGACTTCGACTCCACCTTTGATGCTGTGGTAAAGGGCCTATTGTAGCTTTCACGTTTCTAAATCATATATTTGCCAGAGTTTTAAACACCCTTGCATGTAACTCTTTCAGTTGCTTGCATTCTAACATGTCTACAATTTATAATGCTGCAAGAAATGATTGTATTTCTTGGTTTTTCAGGTCTTGACTGAAACAGACCATTGCTATTGTGTAATTCTCAATGCACATGATGGGGCAGCATTTCCCAGGGTAAAGGAAGAAGATGGTTGCAGTTCCAGTGATAGTTCCTCTTTGAGGGTTGAGACTAATTATTCAAAGACAAAAAATACTATTGATAGTTCCTCCTTGAGGGTTGAGACTAATTATTCAAAGACAAAAAATACTAAGGTTTCTTTTAAATCTCTGTTCACATGCTAGAATTACCATTAGATATGAGATAGGTGCAATCCCCACACACGCTCTTACTTCATGGACTACTCTGTATACATTCTGATTTGCTGGTATCGTGATTGCAGCTGACTCTTTTTTCAGGATTTGTCAGCTATCAAATGGTTCGAGATGCATATGATGGTACGTTTTCCTACAGATCACTCAATTTCTGTTGTTTCACTTAAACCTAATTCTTTGTTTACTTTCATTTATAGAGCAGTTTGATTCATATTAGTCCGTTAAGATTGGAGTTCCACACAAACTGTATAGTTTGAACAATACATTAAATAGGTTTGCAAACATCATTTATTTAACTTCCGTTAAGATTGGAGTTCCACACAAACTATATAGTTTGAACAATACATTAAATAGGTTTGCAAACATCATTTATTTAACTTTCTACAGTCTCCCAGGGTATGGGATGTCAGAATATTGCTTTATTCACACATCTCTGTCTCTCTCTCACAGCTGGCAAGTCTCGATTTGGGAATCTTCTTGGTCATTCCCCTGGCAAACAAGACAGACTTTACATGAAAGGTCCTGGAGGACGTGGTGAAGTTGAAGTAGCTGTTTCCGGTGTTGCAGGTAAGGGATCTTTTCTCTATAATTGACTGATGGAAGAAAGTTTTCTACTTCATTTCTTGTTCTTTATGTTCTAGAGGAAATGTAACTGTAAAATGTTCCTTTCTGGAAAAATAAAATATAAAAAACTTTGTTGACATTTTTCGGTTGGATGTTTACTGTTTTTGTAAATAGCTCAGGTGGAGATTGATTATGATGTTACCAGCACTTTCTAAGTAGATTGAGGTTTTAAAGGTCTGAATGAAAATTATATTATACCTGACAAATTAGGATTAGTTGCTGAGTCAATTTTCTTGTCTGTTTTAGGAGGAAATTAATATTATTAGTTTGGCACATATTGTAATTTGTTTTTTGTGCAAAATACATCTGGTTTTATGTTTCCTACTTGCTCTGTGACAAAGTTACGAGTTTTATCAAGTAATTGATTGTATGATGTGAGCATTGGTGCATGTACTGAAAGTAGATGTTGTGTTATCAGATCAAAGCCAACAAGATCTAGGTCCTTTTTCACCTGTTATATCCAAGCAAGGATTTGGAATTGGCTCCATTGTTCGTAAAGCGGCTTCTGTTGCATCTGTGGCTGCAAAGAATGCCTATGCAGCTGCTGCTTCTAGCCATAGTTTTGATGATGAGATGGTACCTCTCAAATGCTGCTTAATGTCCATTACATTACCCTGGGAGCACATTGCATATGATCTTCTCTTTAAGGTGAGGTTGTTGTTCCCAGCTGCTAATGAATAAAACAGATATACTTTTGGGTAATCGTAATTTGTGTTAAAATTGCTCCTGCTCTCGGCACTTCGTTACCTACAAGTCTCTGATTGGCGCTTCAGAGTTGCTCTTTCCTCCATTTTCTTAAATAAAATAAGAGCACAAGCAAGGTTGAAAATCTGTTGTTCGACTTTGTATTATTTCGTGGGTTTACTTGAGGTGTTATTAACTTTGCTGATAACCGGAACTTTCCAGATACTGCAATAACAGGCAGCAATAAATAAATAATAATTTATAAAATAAAAAATATAGTCCTCATTTGTGAAACTCAGGGTACTCCTCCAGTAAACTTGTAAGCATGCATCTTATGTACTTCTCACTGGTGATGAATATCATAAATGAGTATGCACCTGCAAGATGCAAACGTGAGACGAGCAGAGATGTCCTGTGATCATTGTAAAGATTGTAATCCACTTGTATATGGAGACCTCTTGCTCTCCGTATGCGTATACGGTGCTGGCCTAGAGCTGTTTGTAATTAAATGTATTGTACAACACTATTTTTTTCTCTCTTTTTTGTTTCTGTTTACAAAACTCAGCAACATCTTCATGATCAATATACTTTTCCAGGTTCAGTGAACATTTGGCTCTATATTTTATATATTGGGGAGTGGAAGCACTTTGTCTATAGTATATATGTTATTGAATGGCTATAATTTCTTATATGCCCTAGTTTTATTTGCAATCATGACCTATTCCTCCTCGTATGCTTTTGATTACATAGGGATCTCGACTTTTGTAGCTTTTAAGGTTTGATTCTTTTAGGCCGGTTTCAGACAGAGGGATGTCCGTGTAGCCTCTTGAATATCAACCAGATCAAAACGACGTCGCACAAAGCGACAAATATACTATTGTTTTCATCTCTTTAGACTTTAGCTCCCTCTATCTGGTTACTTTAGGCCATGTTTCTAATGTTGAATCCAATGAAACATGGCTCTCATGCTGGCCTGTTGCAGGTTTAGCAATCGAAAGAAGACGAAAACAAAGCGGAGAAATTTTTAAATCTGTGCAGCACATGAAGCCTACTTTGGATTTGGGGCACACTGAAAGGGAGGCAAGACAAGCCTCATGAGTTGGCTTTAATTCATATAAATATGCGGGTTAAGGCTTCAAACGCAGAAGAGAACGTGTGCATGTTAGCCTCCACTTATAATTTGCTCTGTATTTACTGATGAAAGCCAAACCCCATCGAAAACGGCCAACTAAGAAAACGTCCAAGAACGCTAACTAAGAAAACTGCCCTGAAATATTCCTTTCACAAAATCTGTTTGCGTCTGAATATTTTATCCAAGACACCATGTTCTAGGAACAAAAGAATCGTGTGACAACTGAAGTATGATACAAAAGCCTACTGATGCATCTCACAATAGAATAAGTTGGGATTATACATACACTTTCTTTCTTTTTATTAAACAACTATCGTCCATGAAATTTAAATTCGAAATCTCATCCCATAAAGTATATATACACCGCGTAAACTTAACACGTATTGATATACATTACATTGTAAATTTAACATCTCTTAAAATCACTGTTTAATAACATAACACGTAGGAATGTTTATAATGTAATTAACCCACCACCACCTTTGTCGCCTGCGTATTCCATACGACATCGGCGCAACCTGTCGGCTAAGCTTTCAGATAATTAGCTGTTTGTTTATTCATTTTTGTTTGATTCTTCGTGGTTAAGCTAAAGCTGATCTTGTATGTTGGAGCCCACCATCTCTCTCCTCTTCTCTCTCAGTCTCAGCAAAGCAGTCCAAACTTCACATCCCACCACACTCCATTCCACTACCTTTACACAAAAGTTGTGCACGTAATGGCACTACACCAACCCAAAAATATTATTCTTAAAACAACAAATAATTAAATAAAAGTTAATTAATTAAAGAAGCTGTTTTTTGTTAATTTATACTTTTCATGGACAATAATGCCCTCGCTTCTCCAAAATCTTTTGCTTGTGGTGGATCCCACGTGTCCCTCCCCTACAACGATAAATACTCAGCCCCTCCTCTTCGTTCCTTCCCTTTTCTCCTCCTTTCCTCCCCACGCTACACTCAAATGATCATGAGTTCCTCAGCCATGCTCTTCAACCACGAACCGATCCACTTTAACCGGTTTGAGTGCCCGGTTCAAGAAACCGGACTCACAACAGCCGACATCCAGGAACTGCTGTCCCTGCTCCAAGAGGGAAACTCGGCCTCTCCAAACTCCGGTTCAGAGGATTCGAACCGGGCAGTTTACTCGGTGGACGAGAAAAAGCTTAGGCGCAAGAAGTCGAACCGTGAGTCAGCCCGGAGGTCCAGATGGAGAAAGAAGAGGCACTTGGAGGACCTGACCAACGATGTGAACCGGTTGAAAGTAGAGAACCGGGAGCTGAAGAACCGGTTCGGCTTAGTTGCCCGAAAGTGTCACGTAACATGGAGAGAAAATGACCGGTTGACGTCCGAGTCCCTAGCCCTAAGGGCCAGACTTTCGGATTTATACCGGAATTTTGTTGGCATGCAGATGCTGTCACAATAATATATAAAATCCGAAGAGTAATTAACAAAATGATCATCATCATCATCATCATTTATATTAATAAGCTCTAATTAACTGGTGATTAATTAGAGCAAGATTAAAGAGTAGCATATGGTATGGTTGGTCGGGGTACATTTGGCTGCTTGAAAATGATGGGTTTTTCTTCTTCTTCTTATTTGCTAGTTTCAGGTTCTAGGTCGTAGCTCCACGAAAATTTGGTGGGGATTAGGGCTAGGCATTTAGCTGGCTATAGATATCGCCATGCATGCATATGTAAATATTTTGGAGGATTATAATGAAAGTGGAGGCTCTTTGTTTTCACCTTTTTCCATTATCTGCGCTGCGCTCACGAAAAGGAACGCTGCCGCACTGCATGTTTGTTTCACGTTGTTGGTCTATACTCTAAAGATTCGAGAGTCAGTTTGTAGCTTTTTGGTTTTGCATGTTTCCTTTTTTCTCTAAATAATATAATTTTGTGCATGTTGCATGAAAATTGATGCTTGCTAGCTACAATTCCGTAAACATACATATATATAATATGCGCAAATTTGAAAAAGACCAACACCTAAGAATACGTTGGACCCACAAATGACCAACACCTACAACATATATGGCTATAGCCTTTACCTAAACGATTCGTGTGTTTCTAGTTTGTGTGATATGTACAAATATAAATTAACCTAACTAACGTGAGCGTTTCCGTTTTATATTTACATTTTGGGTGTAAAGCGAACCAAATCGAACCGTGTTTATCCCGAATCTCGCGCAACTGTTAAGGTGTGTAAGGGTATTCACCTATGAGTTTGCTGCATAAGGTAATATTACAAATTTTGTTGAAGAATATTAAAGTTCCATATCAGAAACTTAACAAAATCAAATATCCCATATAATGAATGGTTTCACACTACTAATAATAGCGATATTTTTTTAAATAAAACCTCACACTTGCTAAATAAATGGTTAAATTAGAAACAATATCGATGTTGCTAGTAATAGGCCATAAATTCGTCTCTCTAAAATTTAACAAATCCTAATACACAATATACATCGATCTTCACAATTATTGAAACTTGTTCCTAAACCAAAGTATTTGTATATGCATATTCAAATATTGAATCTGTCATATGATTCAGTGCAAACACTGAAAAAGCTGATACCATATATGTATATGTGTGTGTGTTGTATCTTATTTCTTGAATTTAGTTGAGATATATTTAACATGAAAGGGGTTAGTACTTAAGTATGATTATATATGAATTTAGATTAATTATCATGCGATTTATACATACCCATAACTTTTTTAATTAGCATTATGCATCACATGTGCGCAGCATTACCTTTCCTCCACTACCCAGACAAAGCCATCTTATGTTTACCTAAAAACTGTACGAGAGAGACGAAACAACAAAAGTTGGCATCTAGATTAGGCAACATACGACACATGGACTTACCAGATAGAGTGCTAGAAAAGAAGGAAAGAAATTAAAGCAACAAATCAAGACCAGATAATTAAATTTTTATTGTCATCATCAATCGCATATTAAATTTGTGTTGTCATCATCATCAATCAAGCACACAAACAAAAATGATTTATGCTTATTTTTTATTACATTAGGGGAAAATATTAACCCTGAATTGTAAGGATATAATTAAGAGACTGGAATTAAAGGCTATATATATGAAAATTAATCTTTGATCTTCTCCTTTACAGCTGGCTGGAGCTTTTTCAGAAGTAATGCTTGGTTCATATTCAACCATTACAATTGGTATTAGAACCAACCACCACATCTAATTAAGATTATTTGTGTATGGTAGCGTGCATATGTTTCGGTTTAATAGGCTTCAACTTTTGACATGTCCATTCAAAGAAAAAGCAACCAACATTTTATAATGGAAGATTCTCAATTCATTAATTCTTAACACAAGCTAACATACATATCCATCCATTGACGCTATTTTGAATTGGTTGGGTTGAATTAATTTGGAGAACGATGACCAAATGGTACACAACACACCCAAAAGTAGTAATTAATAATTTTCAACCTCTTATTATTATTATTATTATTATTTATAATTAATAGTACAAGCGATTATGGAGGGGGTTTAACTAATATTTGTTTTGAGAGTGATTCTCTCCAGATCGTTACGGCACTTAGATGCTCATCTTTGGATAGATCCTTTATTGGCCTTATCTTAGAGGACTCCAGACTTTCCAGTTGATTCTTTATTTGAGGATTGTAACAAGTAGTTTTTACGGGTATGATCCTAGGGGGACCGGGGGGTACTCTACCTGTGGTCAGGTTCCTGTTCCTGCTTGCAATTGAGCGGGTAAAGCTACTCAGTTAGGCCGACGACGAGCCCGTATGTGTAGAGAAACTCGCTTAATCCCCAACGACATTGCCCGATTTTTGTACTAGTTATGTTTTCCTATCAATAAAATCCTATCGATATTCCCTCAATATATATATATATATATTCATTGAGTGCATGAGAATTTCTAACCTCTATCCACATGAGTGGAGGTGGAAGAGCTTCACCGACTAAAGCTATACTTGACTGGGCTTTCAACCTCTTAATTATGTAGCCTTAATTGTATTTATATGTTTAATGTTTTTTGAAGAGTTATTCTTGGCCGTGCTTAATGGATATTGGACAAAGAAAAGGTGCATTGACTATATAACTTATACTTCCACCTTACAATTCAACTAGACAATTAATCTTGTCGTGGAATGGATTATGGATGGGGCATTTTCAATCCAGATGCAAGGAATGGATTTGATTCTTGGATTTGTAGCCCCCATCGAATCGCCAAAGCGATATATAATTAAAAGGATCAAAATAGTAAAGCAAAAGAAAAAAAGACTTATAGGCCAAGACCCATTTGAATATTAATTCAACCTCTAATAACTAATATAGAAAAGAAAAAGGAGAAAACTATCATTCATTCATGCATTAATTTACTCCATTAAATACAACTTCCGTTCCATGACCTAATCCTCCAAACTCTTGACCATGCTAGAAGAAACTCTATCCATGAAAAAAGGAGCAAACTTTCATTCATTCATCCATTAGGTCTCTTTCTCGACAGTTTCTTCATTTGCAAGTTCATCACAACTAAGCCACGTGTCAAAGAAAGGCACACTTTCCAGATCAAATATGTTACCACGTGCTTAAATTGTTGGTAATAATTTAAACAAAAGTACTGATAAAGTGAAAAAAAAGTTGGTAAAAGTAAATTTCTTTTTGACTTCTTCGTCTTCCGATGTTCATGCATGGATTGGATTTTGGATTTTGGATTTGTGGGTCAAGTTGGATCATCAAGAGAATCATCACCCGAAAAAGAAAAGGGTAACAAAGTTAGGGCAGGTATATGTCATGTCATTAGTTATTTGCAATCTCAGAGTCACTTTCCTTCTCCCTTCTTTCTTCCCATCTTTCGCAGTCAATCTTACACTTCCTTATTTCTAGTGGTTTCCAAAATCACGTTACTGCGGCTTGCTCGAGATTATCTCTAATTAAAACTGAAGTGTCACTGTTTGCACCATCACTTACCATTCGTTCCACCGTTCTGAGTGCGACCCAAATATAGAGGGTCCCGCTCCTTTTTGAGAGCGGTCAAACGAGCAATATAGTCCAACCGCTTGATTTAAGATTTTCTTCGTTAATAAAGATGGACATGAATTCTATAGCAATGTTGGATCAAATTGATTAGTTTGATTCAACGGTTAAGAGATAAGATCTCATCTAAATTCCTCACCATAAAATGACTCTAGAGATAGACCCCACAAATTGGGCTGTACTGCACTAGTTCAGATTCAGAGTGTGGGAGATAGGCCCATTGGGGAACGGCTTCCACAGATTGAGCCCATTTGTTTACGTCTCTCCTGATTTGGCACCCAAATTTTCAGGGCCGACGCGCTAAAATTCAAATTTAAAATTTTTGGGCCGTTACCCTGAACCGTTCGAATCTGGACTGAAAATATCATAACAAACAAAGAGAAGGGCATTTTCGTAAAGCGAACAAATTCAAATCAGAACTTGTTCGAAGTGTTAGCCCGCCCGCGGTTTGAATCGGTGAGAAAGTTTAAGCAGCCGTAGTAACCAGAGACTCAGTAAAGGTTTCAATGGAGAAGATCTGCGTGGCGGTTCGAGTGAGACCTCCTGTATCTCAAGATGTCTCCAATGGAGGAACTTTCTGGAAGGTCGACGACAACCGCATCTCTCTTCACAAGCCTCATGGCACCCCCATATCCGGAGTCTCTTACGCTTTTGGTAAGGACCTATACATTCACACTTGTACATTTATTTCGGCATTTGTTTTTGTTTCCGAGAGATTTACTTGTAAGACATGTGATTTTGTTGTTATAGATCATGTGTTCGATGAAGGCTGTACGAATTCTAGGGTTTACGAGCTTCTTACCAAGGACATTATTCATGCTGCAGTCGAAGGATTCAATGGTATTTGAGAAAAATTTCAAAGTTTCAGTTCCGTTTTAAATTAATTGATTTGATGGAATTTGTATTTAATTTGATATTTTGATGTGTAAAATTTTCAGGAACTGCATTCGCGTATGGGCAGACCAGCAGTGGCAAGACTTTCACCATGAATGGTTCTGAAAAAGACCCAGGAATCATTCATCGAGCAGTTAGAGATGTATTTGACAGAATCCAGATGGTAATGAGGGTTATAATTTTTGTTTTGAATTTTGATGCTTACTGTATTGACTTTGATGCTACTTTGCATTCTCAGATTTCACACCGCGAGTTTCTGATTCGAGTTTCCTATATGGAAATCTATAACGAGGAAATTAACGACCTTTTTGCAGTAGAGAACCAGAAATTGCAGATTCATGAGAGTTTGGAGGTTGGTTACTGACCCTTTTGACAATTTTAGATAGCTTCTTTAAGTGAATTGGAATGACTGATTTTCTCGGGTTCAGCGTGGTATATTTGTTGCTGGCCTCAGGGAGGAAATTGTTAGTAATGCTGAACAGGTTTTAAAGCTCATTGAGTCTGGAGAAGGTTTGCACTTTGTAACCAAAACTTGAGTAACGGGGTTTTATGTTTTTGTATGCGCTCTTACTTGAATATTCGTTCTTAATATGTGTGTGGTGAAATGTTTCTTGCAGTTAATAGGCACTTTGGAGAAACAAATATGAATGCTCGGAGTAGTAGATCTCACACTATATTCAGAATGGTATGTCCATATTATATTTTGTTATATAGAGCTCCAATTATGTATTGGATTTACTCCTAATTAGTGGTATGTGTCTTATGAGTTTAGGTGATTGAAAGCAACGCAAAGGACACTAGTTCAAGTA